ATCGTCAACATATGTTTTATCTGCTTTCTTTTCAACATCCTCTTTCGTTGCATAAGCTTTGTTAGCTCTTTCTTCTTCTTTTGCTATTGCATCGTCTACATACTCTTTGTCAGCTTTGTTGTCAACATCTGCTTTCAAAAGAAGTTCAGATATAGGTTTCTCGTTTAAAGTTCCTTTTGTTGGATTTATACAGACAGTATGGTTCTTATTGTCTTGAAATAGAAACTCATCTGTCATTGGGTTTAATGTCAGTTTTAAGTTTCCTTCTTTCAATGACTCAGATATCTTAGAATAGTTTGAAAAGTTTGTTGTGTTCTTATTTAGAGCTTGCATAATGAGTTGTCGGTTGTGTTGTATTTCTCTCATAGACGCTGTTTCATTTGACATTTTTATTCTAGATAAAATATGCTTCCAATAGAAAAAGAAAATTCAAGAGTTGCTACAACTAAACCATTAGATGAACTTTTTACTAATGTCGGTCAAAAGTTTGAGACAGAGACCGTAAAGCATGAAGGCTATCGTTTTGACTACCCATTAAGATGGTTAAGAGACCCATCTGTCACAAAAGCTATTGGCTTTCGTAGAATGAAGTTCATTTCAGAAGCCATACATGGTTTCCCATTTACAGTCGGTTTTGAAGTTCGATACTATAACAAAGAAAAACGTATGTATGAGAAATTTGAACAGGGAAAACTTTTACAAGTGAATTTGCTTGTAAACTTAGAAACAACTCTTCAAGCTTTTCAAGAAAAAATAAACGACATCTATATCGAATATGCAAACCAGTATAACATTGACGAGGGAGAGTACCATCTCGATATTATATATGACAGGAAAAATGCAACTGTTAAAATCGATAGAATAGAAGACCTTGGAGAAAACGTTTATATTTCTACAAAATATAACAACTTGGCATGGTATAGATTTTTGAGGATGTTAAATCAGCCTGCAGAATATCCAGTACACCCGGACTTTTATGAAGTCGAAAACCCTAATGGAACATATGAAAATGTTTTCGACTCAGATGCTATTATAGTTCATGCTTCATTTTCTGGTGCACAAAACTCTTTTTTATGCTTGGCAAATGACTTTTACGAAAAACCTACAAAGTTATATGAACCGCCGAGTGGAAGTATTTCAGACTTTCAAGTATGGTTTACAACAGATGGAAGAAAGAGAATAATTCCATTATACCATGCGTTTTACTTAGAACTTAGTTTCATATACAACTACTATCGAACGGTAAAAATATAATTTTTTAATACGGTTGAGGTGTTGGATTTGGTTGCCAACTAGACTGTGGTGCAGGTTCAGGCTGTTGTATAACAGGAGCTTGCTCTTCTGGTTCAGGGTCTTTAGGTATAATACCAACGAACTGACCTACTCTTTTACCAATATTTTTGACTCCGTTCCAAATTCCTCTTCCGACAGATTTTATTCCATTCCATATACCTCTTCCAACATTTCGAAAGAAGTTTCCTATTCTTCCAAAGAAACCCATTTTACTATATGTAAAAATCTAATGTCCGCCTAGTCTCTTACGTTTCCTGTTGAGTTCCATTGCATTCTTTAACTGGAGCTCATACATTCTGTTTCTCCTCTGGTAGAAAACATATTCTGGGTCAACTCCTGTGTTCGCGTCATCTGCATAAAGTTGTTTATATCCCACTTCAGGGTTTGTATAAAACTCTTTCCATCTCATATTTGCATACCATGGTGGTAAGCCTAACGCAGCGTCATTTGACATGGCAGTTTGCATTTGTACATCTGTTGGCACTTGACCATAGTTTGCCATTGCAGTTTGTATTCTAACTTCATTTGGAATATTCTCTGGGTTTGGTTGTCCAGGTTGCTGTGCATTCGCTAAGTTCTGTGCGTCCATTTAATATTAGATAAAAATATCTCTTACGAGTACATATACTGAACATTTGCAGGCATTGGTTCATCTTCATATTCTCTGTACTTTTCTGCCACGTCAAATAAATAAATGACACAATGGAAAAAACCTAAAACAAGTAGTCCCATTTCAAACCACATTTACTTACTAATAAAATTTCTTTGTTATGACACTTTCTCCAGTTTATAGGACCTCTCTCATATTCTATCTTGTCATATATAAACTCATAGTCATGTATGTCCTCTAACCATCTCATAACGGTTTCCAAACCACTTTTATCGGATGTAAAGTAAAAGCATGGATGGTTATGTAAAACGTCTAAAGTTTCTAAAGAGTCTCTCAAAGTCCAGTCTACTTGGTATTGAAAATCCCATGTGTTATAGAACGGCGGGTCCACTATAAAGAAAACATTTTCCTTGTCTTTATATTTTTCATACAAATCTGTCCAATGACATCTCACAAACTCTATACCCTCAATATATTTTTCTATGTCCTCTTTGAAAACATTTGTATAGTTAAGATATAAAACTTTTGACATAAGTGTTTCAATGTCATGAACTCTTATAGAACCACTATATAATAGTCTAGCAGATATACTATCCCAGTCTATATATTCTGCTTTTTTCAAAACCTCTCTCACAATATTTTTCTTATCTAATGGTATACGTTCCATCTTACCTATAGGTATCTTTTCTTTTAACTCTTTCAATATATTGTTTGTGTCTGGTATATGTTTGAGACGGTCCATATAGTTGTCGAAGTCATTGCATATAATCTTTGAGTCTGGGAATATTGTATGGCACAAATGGGATATATAGAAACTTCCACCGAACAAATCTACAAATGTTAGACCATTCGGTAGTTTCTTAAGTTCTCTCAATATAATATCTTTACATCTACTCTTATTTCCAAAGAACGGTAACGGAGGTTTTGTAAAATTCATTTATATATAATAATAAAAATGTTTTTACCCGAAAAGTGACAGAAAAGTGACAAAACATGAAAACATATATAATTTGTGAAAAGTGAAACATTATATAATGTTTTCGACCCAGAAGAAGGCTTCTTCCCAGAAGCAATGGAGGAAGAAGAAGAGTCCTCCGAATAAAAACTTCATTTATACTAAACATCAACATCAGGGCTAGAAGGCACGAAGTGCCTGGAAGCCCCACTCCCCTTTTTTTTTTTTTTTTATTTTGATTAACTATGAATAAAAGCGTCGCCATATTCAATTTTTAGTTACTTTTTTTTTCGTTTTCTAAAAGAACCTTAAAAGTGCCAAAAAGGGTCTGCAAATTTTGAATGCAAAAGAATTAACTTTAATATAGAAATAGCATCTGATTTTAGTGCGATTGCACAAGGATTAAAAAGAATTTTGGAAGGCATAAAAAATTGTGATGTTTACAATTTATTTTGACACTCAATGAGCTTTTAAAAATTGTTTTTAAGACCAAATATTAAGTTTATTCAAACAACAATGATACAAATAGATATTTTACTTAGTATATTTTTATCTCCCTCGGGCTCGAGTCTCTATTTCTTCTTTGAGCTCGAGATTGAGTAGTATATTCTAGCCGAGTCGACACATGTATTTTTTTGATCTGGCGCCGAATGCTTTTGTTTTCCCCTCTTTTTGTTGTTTTCTTCTCATCTTCTGTCTTTGTTCTTTTCTTTTGTATATAATATTATTGCAAAATTTGCTTTTTACAGGTACCGAAAAAACTCGATAGTACGGGAAAAAACTCAATAGTACGATTATTTTTCCCCTCAAATCCATGATCGCACTATCTAGTTTAATTTGAGTGTAAAAATAGAACCTACTAACTATGTAGATTCTAAAAAACTTATAATGATGTCAAAAAAATTGAATGAAATTTCATCGCTGACCACGGTTGCCATATCCCAAATGGGGTCAAGATAGGCTTTCCAGTGGTAGTAGGTGTCTTTAACTCAGCCTTCCGCCACACAGATAGAAACTATCATCTTCCATGATTGTCTATCTGCAGTAGGGGCTTTGGAAGTGCTCAAATTTCCGACCTGCTTGAAATCTTCACTCCAACTTCAAGAACATCGGGATTTTACTGTGTCAGTAGGTACAAATAACGATGTTGTTGAAGTTGGGACGGAGTGTTTCAGCGGGTATGCCAAATTTGGTATGCGGTGCTCGAAGAGCGAAACTCGAGAGTATCGCAATCAAATGCAAACAAACAAAGAGAGTACATACCGAGGATGTCATACAAATCGTAAAATATGACTCTTTGGTTTTGCAATATAAACAATTGTTTAATTTGGAATAAAAATATCGTATTTTTGCATTTTATAAGTTGTTTAGCCTTCCTTATCTGTTATTTGAAGGTTTTTCCACCTTGGACCCCAAATTCACTGAGATTTAATGAAGTCTGGGTGCTAACGTATGAAAAAATTGAGGGACTGTCACTTTTGCTACTACCGAGTATTCTGGCCACTAACGAATTTTTTAGGTACCTGTATGTTGGTTGTTTCAAAAGTTATGATGTAATTTTGTATTTACTTTGTTTTTGTATATGTGTTGTCGCTAAGTTCTTAGAAATTTTTGTCGTTTAGGGTGAATGATTTGAAGGTCAGGAATTACATGATTTACAATGGTAAAGAAATCCTAGCAGTGTAAACTTGTAATTCATTACGGTAAATAAAGAATTCGTAAAATAGTTTATCGCGAATAAAAGGAATGCATGCGCATTATAACATTGGGTAAGAAATGAATACCATCATATTAATTTAACGAAATTTCTAGTTTGACTAAAATTATCTGATAAGATTTCCAGAGATTCAGACAATATCATATGGGTAAACACGGGGTAACATATGTGATTCAATTGCTCATATTGATGTCTGGAATCAACTTCACTCTCGAGCCAATACACTTAATTTGACACTCGAGTGTCAAAAAAATACTCATCTTAGATGGGGGCGATACCCAAAACTACCAGATTTTTTTGAGTGGATATAGCCGTTTTTTTAGCTGGCATATTTTTAGCAACAAACAGGGGACATTATTTTATTATCAATTTTGAATGTAATACAATTTGGATTTTGAATTGAAATTAATCGTTAAATTGAAGACATGACAAGCGAAGAACCTGAAAAAAGCAGCGAATCAAAAGACATACCTTTTCTCACATCTCAAATTCTACCACCCATAGTGTTGATAATAGAATGTATTTCCGTTTTCATTCTCCTCTTAAATAGAGTAGAAATTGATACAGAAGGAGAATTCTACGACACAATGAATGTTTTATTTTCATGGAGTGGTGAGATTCAAAATTTAGGTCCAGCAATATACGCATTTATAAATGCGCATCCAAATCAGCATATTACATTTTATCTTACAACTACTCAATCAAAATATATACGGAAATACAGGGCTTATTTTGACAAATGGCCTATTCATAACGTGAAATTCTTTTTTGAAGTTCATCAAACCAAATACCTTGCCAAAAGAGTTATTCGTGTGCCATATGACGCTTACATCCGACTTCTTTTCCCAAATGCACATCCTGGACTTGAAAGGTTCCTATATTTAGACGGCGACGCAATTGTACTCCATAACATCAATGATATGTATTATTACGATTTTCAAAATAAATCAGCAATTGTGATTTTGGATCATCTTTCGGAATGTGAGGGATTCAGCAGATATTTCAATTCCGGAGTTATGATGTTTAATAATTGGAAATATGTTCAAGAAAACTTTTTAAAACAGGCTGAAGATTACTTGAAGTGGCTAGAGATAAATAGAGGTGTATGGTTTAACGATCAAACTCCTTTGAACAAAATCTTTGAACATAATAGAATTGAATTTCCACAAGATTACAATGAATGGAACATGACAAGATTTAGTAAAAACACTAAAATTGCTCACTTTTATGATAATGATTGGGCTTGTAAGCCATATAAGGCTAGTTGTAACCGTACAGATCTTCCATTTGAACTATGGAGATGTTTTTATAAGGCTTTTAAAGAGCAACCTAATCTTTGGCGTTATAATAGAAGTACTACAATCTGTACAAACAATTTGTTATAATATAAAATATTAGTTTTATTTCTTTCATCATATTTTTAAATAAAATTGTATTTTTGATTATAAATATCCCTTATTCAGGGTATATTTTCATGCTTAACCAAAAAATGTGAAAGAACAATCAAACTCCCCTCTTCTGGATTAATGCTTTACCTTCTAAAGAAGATTGTAGAACAATGCCATTCCTGGAGACTTGCCTATCTCACAAAAAAAAAAGATTCTTTGGAATTTCTTCTCAAAATCCTTTCGGACTACATGCAAATAATGTAAGAAAACAAATCAAAAGGAACAATTAAACGAAAAAGTGTTTAATAAAAAAAATTCAGAATCCCCTGTTGAAAATAAGATTTTCTAAATGACTATCTTCAACGTCAAGAAAGAAGATTATACAACTAGGAAATCTTGCATCTCACTCATTGGAAATAGCAGAGTCTGGAGATTCAGTATCAGTGCCAAACTGAGGTCTTTCATCGTCTGATGATGGAGATCCTTGCGGGACTTGATTTGTTTGAGGACGGTTTTGAGTTTGAATAGGAGCCTTGACTACTTGAGTAGGAAGATTGTTATTCATATCAGAGATAAATATGACAGTTTTTCACTTTTTTTTGAATTATTTGAGAAGAAACACGAGTTAGTATACCTATCTTGGGTACGGCGGCATCGCGTTCCACCTTACCCAAGATAACAGTCTGACACTTTACAAAACCACTAACGTATATTTTACAACACAAACGCAACACTAACTTAACCTTAAATATTTACAAAGCCGCCAACCACTTCACCTCACTAACGTTTTCACTAACGACTTTACTACTGTAAAAATAAACGTTCTCATTTACAAAAGTATTGCAACTCTTCCCATTGCTTTGCTTCACACAACAGTTCATATTCTTCACTATCGCTGCTGTCACTCCAATCGTCAGAGTCAAAGTCACTGTCAAAATAAATGTTAGTAAGTTTTGACAAAGCTAATGAAACACGCTTACCGTTTGTATCTATTGCTTTTATATATCTTCCATAATGCTCTTTGTCATAAACGCTCAAACTAACTTTACCCTTTCTCCCTCGTATCTGATAGAATGTATTTTCACGAGGAACGAAGAACAAATTCTTGAACTCATGACCGTTGTAGTTTGTTATCTCAATAGTTTTCGTCATTTATATAAAAATAAACTTAAAAATAATTTTAAAAATAAACTTAAAAATAAATGATATCACTACCTTCACGCGTATGAAAACATAGCACAAAAATAAATTTAGGGTAGAAGGGTATATCTAACCCGATTTCTAACCTCATTTCTACCCTAGCCGCTTTGCGGCTCTGACCCTTTGGGTCTCTTGAATTCATTGCTTTATAACTCTCTTCCTTGGTTTCTTCATTTTTCATCATTGACTTTATCCACTCTTCTAACTTCTTCTTAAGTTCAGCAATGTTGTCTCATGAAGTTTAATCTTCCTTAATATTCCTTCTCTATCTAATGGTTGTTTTATCTTTCTAAACTGAACTCTACCATCCTTCATAGTATGAATGTAAAAACCTTCTGGAATAGTTCCTGATTTAATGTATTCTACCAAAAACTTTTGTTTCATTGCTTCAGTGACTTTATTTGTCATTTCAATCAAATAAAAATTTTAATATTAAATAAAAATAACGTTATTTTTTCAGTAAGGAAACGCAGGAGTTTTTCGATTTATTTGAGGAGTAGGTTCTGGTTTAAATGTTGGAGTCGGTTTAGGAGTTGACTTTTGAACAGGAGTTTGTACTTTCATAGGTTCAGGAGTCATTGAAGGTTTTTTGCGTTGGTTTTGGCGAAGGTGTTGGAGTTTGTTTAACTTCAGCTACTTCAGTATTATTTACAACATTTGCTTTGTTTCTTTTCAACATCATAACTGCTCCTGCTGTAGCTAGCAAACCTAGTGGGAGACCATATTTATATAAGGACTTGACCAAATGCTATTTTTGACAGGAGCTGGTGGAACACCTAACCTTGGTGAGACTGCTCTTTGCCATTGTGCAGCTCGTAAGAAATATTCAATAGGTGCTCCATAATCGTTTGGTAAAGTTTGTTTCATAGATGGTGAAGGTTCACGAGAGCTTGATGAAGAACTCATTTATAAGCTTTAAAAATAAACGTTCATCCTTTATTCCTCACTGTCGTCCGCTAAGTTATAGTCATCTAATCTTATTATGGGATGCCATGACGCACCTGAATGGCAAAGCAACAATCCCTCATAAATCCAATAAGTGGCTTTGGTACATTTTCAGTTGCTAGTTCAATAGGTCCTTTAACAGACAATTTGTATGTTATTGGAGCAGTAGATGTTTGACCTTGCTGGAAGCAAAAGTCCACTTCTGTTGGAAAACCACATAAGAAATGTGTGTTGTCATAGCTATCCCATTTATGTTCCACACTACCATCATCCACCAATGACCTCATAACATCTTCATTAAATCCTATCATATCATTGTTTGTATTGCAAGCGTTCGCAACCATTTCATAAAATACAGGTCCATATGATTTTTCAGGTTCTGCAGGCATATTTCCATAAGCTCCCATGGAAAGCTGAAGATATTTAAACTTAGGGTTCTCAAAATTAACATAATAGTTGTCTTTCTTTCTAAATAGTGCCCAAATACTTTTAACATTAATAGGCGTATAAGCTGCTGTAAATGTTGCACTTGAACTATCTGTATTCTTTGAGAATGAACCGTCCATAGGAATCCAATCCATAACTTTAACAGGAAAACATAAAGCCTCGTTTGTATAATGTTCTACAAGTTCTGTATAAATGTTAGGGTCTAAAGAGAATGACTTTGGATGAATGAAACATTCATTAAAATCCATCTTTGTTCGAAATAGTTGCTGGGTTACAGTTGTAATAGTAACTGTTCCACTAGCTTCTACTGCCTTCGTTATCATAGTGAATGGTTCATTCCATGGAACAAATTTATTTGTCGGTGGATTTGAATCTGAAGCAAATGCAACTTTAAGAGTTGGATTGAAAGCAATGATATCATTTACAGATATAGATGTGCATTGTAAGGCGTCGCTACTGAACTTTACTTTAAGCTGAATGTTTCCTGCAAAAGCTGGAATAAATCGAATAGCTTCTAATGGAAGGAATCTTCTAACAGGAATTCTTAAACGAAGCTTAAAATCAAATGATTTTCCTGCTGTAATTGGACCACTAACAATTTGTCCTGTTCTGCATGTTCCCGAATGACTCCATACATCTTCATGTCGAGTCTTTGAGAAAACATCTACTTTCTTTATTTGTTCGGTAGTTTGTGAGTTTGAAGTTATATATGCTTCTTCTCTTGCGTTGTCTTGAGAATATACGATACGACCATTTGCAAGGATTTGATATCCAGCAACTGCATAGAAAGCGTCATCGAAACCAATCCAAAATCCTGGTGGGTTTGTTTTATTGGAACCTGAACCAATTTCTTTATCTACAATAAATTGACCTTCCATTTTATACGTAATGAATGTATTGTAAAGGTCCAACATATTTTCACCAGGAGGTGAGAGATTGAATGTTACCCATGTGTTATCTTTAGCAGTTCCAGGTTGTGATGGAATCTTTGCGTCAGAATATTTTCTATTAGTGTCACCAATTTGAACTGCATTGTCTATGATATCGAAATATGAGCGAATCTGATGAATATGCTCTGCTGGAGTAAATTCGTTTAGCTGTTCGTTCTGCATGTATTTACTTCAGATAAAAATATCTATTTACTTCATTATTCTCACTCTTCTTCTTGGCATTCGTGGTGGAAGTTGTTTCTTGACATTTTCAATGAACTGTACATTCTCTTTTGTCTCAACTTCTTTCACTGGCGGGTCAGGATTCTTTGACTCGGTTTGTTTTTCAATGAAATTCACGAACTTTGCAATAAGCTCTTGGTTCGTTATTGAAAGTACATCTGGCTTCTTTTCTTCTGGTTCTATTGACTTTTCAGTTTGAATAGAAGGTTTTATATGGGCTTCGCCCTCGGTGCCATGCACCTTAATGTTGTCGCTTTCTGCATTCGCTAATGGAACCTTTCTTTTTCTTACGTATATTTTACCATCTTTACTCTGACTTACGTAATAGAAAGGATGTTGTATTCCTCTTGCGTCATTTAATATAATAGACTCTCGCTCTGATTTTGACAAGCTCATTTTACATCGGTTAAAGTTTTAATTTTGTTTTTTATCTGCAGTCAAATGACTCAGACAAGCCCTACGGACAAGACCCAAGGGGTCATAGATGTTGAAGCATTGAAGAAAGAAATTCGTGAGCAAATTTTATCCGAACTGAAGGAACAAAAACAAGAACAAAAGCCAGAGAGACCAAAGAGAAAACTTAGTGAAAAACAACTTGCTGCATTAGCTGCTGGAAGACAAAAGAACCCACGTACTGGCGAAAAAAGCTAGAGAAGAAGCTGAAGCAAAAGCTAAAGAAGCTGAAGCAAAGAAAGAGTAAATGTGTTATTTTTATCCGAATTAAATGTATAGACAAATACCTTTATCTGTTGCGTTCAGTAGTGAAAACCCTGACGTCAAAATAAAGGGGAACAGAGTAACGTTTAAGTTTCCAACAGACTGGATTGTGAACATAAATGAAGAGAAGTACATTGGCATAACATCTATGTATATAACACGTGCTTTCAGAAAGGTTGACTTTATACTTCAAGTCGAGATAGAAAATGACGAACAGTCTTTAAGCGCCCAAAACATTCACATATACAAATACTTTAAAGACGATACAACATTGTTGCAATGTATGATTTCATTTAATGAGATGTTCGAGAAAAAGTTCAACATTGAAGTACAAACTTTACAGCCTTTACGTGAGTTTCTTGCACAACTGAAAGAAGAAGGTAGTCAGCCACAACTTATAGACTTTCATTATGAATTTAATGAAAATGAAGATGGAACTCATGACTGTCAGTTTGTTATATATTCACCATTCAATGAAGTCTAAAGAGAAAGAAAATCCATTACGTATAAGATTTC